TATTATTAAATTAAATACATATATAAATTAAATACATATATAAATAAATTAATATAATGCATACATTGGAAGAACAGCAAAAAAAGCAACTTCTGAACAATGGTAGTTTTACAACAAACTACATTGAACTGAATCATGTAGAAACTACTTCGAAAGCATTAAAGACTTTGCTCAGAAGGTGCTACGTAGTTCAGTAGTTGACAGAATAAATTAAACCATATCAATAGCTCTGAATAACAGTGGCCTGTATAGAGGGAAGGCACAATAGAGCCCATTACTCAAAGAATCATATGAAAGCATGGCTTCAGTTTGCCAGAGGGGATATTAGTGACCCAGTTGTGATGTGAAAAAAGATTTTGTGTTCACATGAGAACAAGAATGAGCTTTTCCACCCATTTTTGTTATGGTGGTACAAATTTAATGCATCTTAAAACACCATAGTGAGTGGCAGAGAAGTGTTAGCATAAGACTCACGGGGAATGCATATCTGGCTAAAATAGAGGGAAGGATAGGACAAAACCTCATTAGTGAGCCAAATTAAAGGGATAGTCCACCCAAAAATGAAAATTCTGTCATTTACTCACCATTATGTCATTCCTAACCTGTATGACCTTCTTCTATGGAACACAAAGAAGAAATTTTGTCCATTCAATGTACAGTAAGTCAATGGGTTTCAGTGTTTGGACCTCAACATTCTTAAAAAAAAAAAAATCTTCTGTTGTGTTCCACAGAAGAATGAAAGAGATGACAGAATTTTCATTTTTGGGTGAATTATCCCTTTAGGGAAAATTAAGATTATTTATATATTTATTTGAAATAATTTTTAATTAAAAATGTCATTGTCAATTTTTGTGTGACACTGATTGCATTTCCCTTCTGTGTTCAGCGTCCAGAGGAACATCTTTTTACCAAAAATGTTTGTTTTAGAAAGGAATAATGAAGGTGAAAGTTGATGTCAATTGTTTCACTTGTTCACTTGAACCAGCACCACCCCCAACATTAGAAATGAGCCTCTTCCAACCATAGGGAACATTTCTACAACCCCCTTCCACACAAATGTTATATCTATTTGCCCCCATCCCCCCTATTCCTCAACCCATCTTCACCCCATTCCCTCCATATTTCCCATCACATAACAGGAAGTTACATCTCTTATTCTCTGACTATCCTTGCCTTTCCTTGAAAGCCTCTGGGAATTTCCAGTCATGGAATGTTTCGAGATTCCAACCCCAGGAATGCTTGAATAACAGGATCGGATGGATTCCTTTTAAGCCGTAGGGAAGAAGGAATGATAAAGGAACCTATCATGCGAGGAAAGAAAGACAGAAGGCTCGCTCACACTTGATAACACTGACAGTTCGTCAGCTGCTATGAGAGATCAGTTTTACTACAGCAGATGCTTGAGCATATGCCTCCAACCCCCGTCTCAAGTACATCTGTCACTTTTGCCTATCAAAGGCAAAGAAAATGTCCTCAAATCTCAGTCATAAATTATTATTATTATTTATTTTTTTAGTGACTGGTGGGCAAAAAGAAATCCCATAGAGACGCACTTGAATAGACTTGCATTTGAAGGTGAACCAGAATGTCAAAGAGACTTGGGGATTGGCTCTTTTGACTTCATCAGTCAAAATCATCCAGAAAACCCTTGGACGTGACGTGACATGTGGCCAAGTATGGTGACCCATACTCGGAATTAGTGCTCTGCATTTATCCCATCCAAAGTGCACACACACAGCAGTGAACACACACACACCGTGAACACACACCCGGAGCAGTGGGCAGTCATTTTTTGCTGCGGCACCCGGGGAGCAGTTGGGGGTTCAGTGCCTTGCCTTGCGTGGTACTGAAGGTGGAAGAGAGCACTGTACATTCCCCACCTACAATCCCGCAACCTTGGGTTACGAGTCCGACTCTCTAACCATTAGGCCACGACTTCCCCTTAAGTTAGTAACCATTCAGAACACCCTAGCAGTCGCTAACCACTTGCGTCTCAATCAGCGCTCTAGCTCCCGAGCTCGTGAATCACTATATCGTGTACAGGAATCCGGTCACTGGTAAGTACCCTGGCTCGCTGCACATTGGGACAGTAATTACTCAATTTCCAGAGACAAGACTATGTACAATGTCAACGGACAAGATAGTAGAACGTCACCGCTGGAATTAATGAACAACAGTCAGGACCAATTACTTTTTGATATAATTTTTTATTCTCTTTGTTCTGTTACATGTCCTTACAGCATTTCAGCCGAATATTAATTATAAATGTTAACTAGATGTGTTAACTACCTGTCTAGCAATGTGTGTTTATGCTTAAATATACAAAAAAAAAAAAAAATGGTTTGAATTTTCAGCATCATTGCTCCAGTCTTCAGTGTCACATGATCCTTCAGAAATCATTCTAATATGCTGATTTACTTCTCTCAATACATTTCTTATTGTTATCTATGTTTAAAACAGTTCATATTATTGTGGAAACCAAAATACATATTTGTTTAAGGATTAAAAAACAGCGTTTACTATTTGAAATAGAAATCTTTTGTAATATCATATATTTTTAATGTCACTTTTGATAAGTTTAATGTGTCCTAGCTGAATAAAAGAGAAAAAAAGAGAAAATGTTATTGACCCCAAGGTTTTTAAAAGGTAGTGCATAAAAAAAACATTAACCTGAATTATTAAAAGCTGTACAAGTATTTTTCTTTGTTAGTTCATGATGTGCTACTGTCTCAACTTATGTTAGAAAATTTAACCTTTTATTTGACTGTAGACCAATATCTCATCATATTTTCTCTCTCTCTCTCTGAGGTTGAGAAAGCGATGGTAGTATAGAACATTCTGTTCAGTTCTGCAGTGCTCGACTAAATGATGCCTGGTCTTCTGCTGCTACACTGAGTGTTCCCTTAGGGATGCTGGAATTTGAGACTCAAACAATCCAGTTACAGGGAAGGAGAAATGTAAGTTTGGACCTCCTCTCTCTCCCTCCCCCCCCTCTCTCTAATAGCATGCCCCCCTGATCTCTGACCCCTCAACCCCTCTCTTCCTTGAGTGTGGAGCCCACATTGTCTCAACCCATAGAGAGGGCAGCAAACATATGGAGGAATGACAGACTCTTATGTTTCTAATCAGACACTCCTTGAGCAGCCCAACCCATTCACTCTCTGCCAAAGCATCATTATCAACAGAGCTTGTACCCCCTTTAAGCTACAATAACTGAGTTATGGGACGTAAGCCAATGAGAGTGAAGCTGTGCTTGGTTGATGGGAGTGTGCAAGGGAATGCATGCATTGCTCTAGATCGGCTTTGGAAAATAAACATACTGTACTGTATGACTAGAATGATGTGATAATTGAAACAAATAGAAACTAGTATTTTGACACCTCAATTGATGAATAATATATTTGAAATTAAATATTGATATTGCCTCGTTGATGCATGGTTGAGTGTATTTTTATGTGGCTAAATATCATTTTATGCATGGATTTATAGTAATTAATATAATTATATATATATTTTTACTTATTTCTTTACTTAAAATTCATGGTTGTTTTTTAATTAATTTATTTACCTTTTTATACTTAATATTCATATAATTTTTATAAAGAACTATTGGCTCATATTTAGCATATTAGCAGATTTTCTTTGGACATAATGTCTTTTCCAGCAAAAAAAAAAAAAATCTACAATCATAAAACGGGTAATATAATTGAGAACAAAATTGTGTGAGTTACTTATACTTTTTTTCAGAGAAAATATCTTGAATATATATATATCATCTGAAGGCTGAATAAATAAAAAGCTTTCCATTGATGTATGGTTTGTTAGGATAGGACAACATTTGGTCAAGATACAACTATTAGAAAATCTGGAATCTGAGAGTGCAAAAAAATCTAAATATTGAGAAAATCGCCTTTAAAGTTGTCCAAATGAAGTTCTTAGCAATGCATATTACTAATCAAAAATTAAGTTTTAATATATTTACAGTAGGAAATTTACAAAATATCTTCATGGAACATGATCTTTACTTAATATCCTAATGATTTTTTGGCATAAAAGAAAAATCAATCATTTTGACCCATACAATGTATTTTTGGCTATTGCTACAAATATACCCCAGCGACTTAAGACTGGTTTTGTGCTCCAGGGTCATATATATTATGCTACAAATCCCATAACATTTAGATTCAGACTTAAAAAGGGAATTTAAACTTTAAACTTAATTGAAACAAAATTAAACTTAATTCTAACCTAAAAGATATATTTTTGATGACAAATATTACTATTTAATGCAATTTTGCTTCTCAAATAAGTTTAGATATTTTAATGGAAAATAAGACATTAATAATTAATAAATATAGATTCAGAAAATAATTCTGCACCACTGCATCTGCTATTTGCAGCTTTCCCTATGCAGCTCTCATAATGTAAACATCAGTGTTTGTTTCTGTCTCTGACTGAATTTGAAATATGTATTACATCATACGGTCCACAACTTTTGCCGCCCTGGGTCTTCTAAACACCTGGATGCTTCATAGTCCGCCAAATTAACAAAATCCTCTTTATGCCTAATGGAATAACAACAGATGGACTTTTTAATTCGCATACAGACGCACACACGGCCACCTGGTGATATAATATATGCACAGACACACTGTGTGGGAGAGAGCGAATCAATTGATCCCAAGCTATTAACTTGAGAGGAAACTCATCAACTTTATTTACAGCGTATTGCTGTGATGTAAAGGGGTGTGGTAGCTTCACAGACGGAGAACTAGCAGAGCGGAGTGGAGAAATGCATGCATTAAAGCAAGCACTCAAACTTTTACATTAAACGTTTTCTTTTTAATAGTTACTAAAAGTTACGAGTCGATAAAACCAATTTGAAAGCAAAATGTTTGTTTATAACACTCTCCTCCCTTAAAGCTGCACAACATGTTGAGTGATACAAAGTTGGGTCCAAACATCTGCAGGAGAACAAAAGTGAAGTAAATCGTACTCACCTTGAAATGAGACAGCAAAGAGACAGATTAAGAAAGCAATACTTGACGCTTTGTGGTATTTTCTCTGTGTGGCCATCCTGAGCGAACGGTCCTGCAGCGTGTGGTGTGACTGTGTGTCAGAGAGTGGGTGAGGTTTGGGTTTGTTTCACTGTGAGTGTCACACAAGGGATAAAGCCAATGCCTGGGCTCTTATTCATGCTTGGCCCATCCCCCCTCTCTCTTTCACTCTCTGCCACTCGCAACTTTAACCGTTACACTCTATTCTATTCTTTTCTTCATTCCCCTGACCTGAGTTGTAATTATAGAGTATAGTGTCTGTATCCAAAGTAACTCAAATTGCACATTTTTAGTCTTTTGAAGTGAAGTTAAGTCGATTAAGACAAAATAGAGACAGCATCAGTGCTCAACATTTATCCATCAGCTTGGTGTGATGCCATTCTGAAAACTCACATTGTAAAATACATAGATACATATTATCATAACTATCCTGTAACAAAGGAACAAAACATTGTGTTGATATTTTATAAGTTGATGTGTGTTTGACCATTTTAAATGTGCATAAATCTATATAAAGCACCGGAGAAAAACTGAATGTAAACATTTGTATTTTGTAACTCCTATAAATCTGAAAGTGGTTGATAAATGGCTTCTTTGTCCTATTTCAAGTAAGAATAGTGTTTTAGGCAGCATTCCAGCAGCAGGCCCACAGAATGAAATGTGTGTTGTTGCAGTTTCTAGTGTTATGTTAATGCACACTTTCCAAACTCAACTAAGTGACTCAAGTAATAACAAACACATAAATCCATTTAGGACATTTTGTGCTTATAACAATGTTAATATCTCTGTTTAGGATTTTACTGTGTATGCAAGAATCTGTAGCAACATTTTAAGCAAGCATTACTTGTTACTTTCACAGGCTGTTTTAATTTAGGTGTAAAGAAACTAGGACACAGTGCTGCCCCCTGTTATTTAAAATTTCAAACAGCACATTTATCCATTTACGATATTAGAGTATAGGCTGTAAGCGACTGCAGCACTCACTGAAAAAAAAAAAAAACCCAACAAACATATATATATATATAAATGATTTAAAATTATATATTTTTTAATCCCCCTTAAAATCCCCCCTTTAAATACTTTTTAAAATACAAAAATGTGCGACAGGCTATGCACAAAATGTACAAAATGTGTGACAGCTAAATATTAGTTTTTGATCATTAGAAGTAGTTACTAACAATAATTATTTTTACTAGTATGAATTCAATATTAATATCCAATATCTAACACCTCTAACAAAAGAAAGACTTCAGAGTGTACTTTGTTCATTGAAAGTGCCATATTGCATATTCATCTTGCTATCATGATTATTCCTTTTGGATAAACTTCATAGAATCGTAGATTCCATCTCTGGCGATTGAGGCTGGATTTAATTAGATGTTCGCAGAAGAGATGAATGACAGTGTGATTCTGGAATGCTGTGTTCAGGAATTCATATTTCAAAGTGATTGTGTGAAAGTATGTATTGTTCTGTGGGCCTGGCACTGTTTTTTTGCTTGGGTATTTTCTTGGATGTTAAAGATCAAATACTGGTACACAGTAAAGTCATTTAATCACAACCAAATTGGTGTTGGGAAAAAGTATTTCATAAAGTGTGCAGATGTCAGGCATCTGCTTTGATTGAATGAAATTTTAAGGAGCTTGAAGCGATTTCAGACAAATGTTCCTTGGATAAGTTTTTCGGAGGAAGTACCTTTTCAGATGTCTGAGATTGATTGTGCTTAATCTGAGAAGAGTAGTGGAAATACTTTGCTGTTGTTTTTATGTTTATGCCAAAATGAAAATACTGTCATCGTTTACTCACTGTCATGTTGTTTCAAACCAGAGTGACTGTCTCCTGTGGAACACAAAAGATTTATCAGAATCAACTGAAACTCTTCTTTCATATGTTGAAAGTAGATGGAGAGCATGGACTACTGTGGTTTAGAAATGAAAATTCAAAATTTAAACTAAATGAGGGTGAGTTGTCATTGTGGGTGTACTATTTCTTAAGAAGTGGTTGAAAATTTGTCTGGGATGCTGGTGCCTCAAATCCCTGAAGGTTGATGCTGTCTGTCCATCGCTTTAGTGAGAGCAGGTTTTGACTGGCACTGTTATGCCCTTGGGTGAAGTACTTAAAAGTTTCTCCAGTGTGTCTGCAAACAGATTACTGCAATCACTTTGGAACTTGCTGACAAATCTTGGTTTTAATAAGAGAAAAAAAAATTATAAAAATTTTTGTTGCTGCCTCTCACCAGATTATAAGGTTGCTTTCAATTAATCATTTGGGTGTGGCTATAGCACTGTTTTAGCTCTGTTTAAAGCAACTGTGTGTAGTTTTGTGTATTTTTTGCAACTTTGGAGCCCCATGCAGTTAAGCATTCACGTCGTGTTTACATTGGATAGCTGTAAACGCTCACTAAACTTACATACTCCCAGAACAGATGTTTGGAAGAAACAGAAGCCATTCGCCTTATTAGAAGTCAGAATGACTTTGAAACTGATATTTCAAGGTAAAAAAAATTACATAGAGTTGTTTTAACAATAATATTGGCTATTGCATGATTTAATCATGGCTGTTTTAACCTATATCTCTCAGTTCAAATTACTGGTGCATCTGTTATTTACACAAACCATACAACTATTTTACCACTAAATGTCCCGGTTCTTGTGGTAACATCTTGTTGATTGTTACCACAGTATATGGCATAACATTATTACAGGAAGTACAGCAGGAGATGTAAGAGCGTACATGAGAGCGTCCTGCATTTCTACTTATGAAAACAAAGAGACTATAATGGATTTTATGCATTACAGCCCATAGGCATTCAGTCACCATGGGAACTTCTGAAGAGAGTGAGGTCAGCCACGATCAGCTGTCTTACCCTGAAGCGTGGTGAAATGTGTCTGTGAAGCACAGATTGTGAGGCTGTAAGCAATGTTACCAAAATATTTACAGTTACAGTGCAATATGGAGGTTACTACCCTAGAGAAACAAACTCAGGTCTGTGTGATTAGAGGTTACACAGTACAGCAGCGGAGCCAATTTAATGCGTATTCCTGGTCCTGTTGTGAATAATTCATCAGTGCATGATATTTAAGAGGATAAAATGTTTTTCTTTCTAATATTACAAAGTGTAATAATAACTTGCCCCACTTATGAAATGATTTAATGCACAATTTTCACAATCCAATGAATTCAGTATGGATAAAATTAAGTCCCATCCTAAATTGCTGAATATGTTTTACTCTGAAATGCAACACATTTTGCCTTAAAAAAGGATTGTGAACAGTGTTTCATGTTGATTTTATATAGGCAAAAACAAGATAAAGTAACCTTTAAATAGTCAAAGAATATTAAAATAGAAAATGCTAACAATTATTAACTTTTATTTTATTTAATTCATTAATTCATTCATTCATTCATTTTTTAAAGACCTTTAAAGACCTAGTAAGTGAAGTAAAACGTATGAACTTCTACTTCTACTCATTATGCTTGCTTATACCTTCTACAAGGGTTGTGATGAAAACAATTTGTTTACGCAGAATGAAAGATAAATATCAGCTTTCCCTTACATCAATAAGGCTTTCCAAATGAGAGGAAATAGCAGGATATTCATGAACATTGTGGAGCAATTGGGTAATGTTCACTACTCTTTATTTCACATCCAAGGCACTCTATGTCGATTTTATCAACTTTGACTGCCTTAATGGCACTTCCTTAGGAAACATAACAAGAAGGAAATTGCTGTTAAAAGTTGTTAAAGAGTCTTGTATTAGCCCAAATGGAGAAAATGTCAGAGGAACATATTGCTTGCTTTGAGAGTGATTGTTAGAACTGGAAGCTCAGTTCAGTTGCTTATCTGCACCATTGCAGTTATAACTCAGGGACACTGCAGCAATTATAACTCTAGTGTGGTGTAAGCAAAAATAAGAATGTCTTGTGTACCCATGCACACCTTTTGTATAGGACTTTGCTGAACCTGTTCAGAACAGATCTGCAAGCTTGTTCTGTGGGTGTTTGTATCATACTGTGATTATGCAAGTAAGATAGACGCCTCTGTGGCGAAATTAGAAAAAAATGAAGGATGAATTCATCAATATTGAATGTTCCAAGGACATAATTGGTGAGAGGTAATGATCAGGGATCGGTGGACACGCCTGGTCCATCATTTCACTGAAACACCATGAAAGACAGATGTTCCCCTTCACAGCAAATAGTCGTAAATAACGTAAGTAAATGTAGGTTTTGTAGAACCAGATTTTACGTGTAGTAGCTATACGAGTTCTCATGAGATCACGTTGATCTGTCTGTCTCTGTCTGTCTGACTCAGGGTTTCCGTGGGTCCTTAAAGTCTTACATTTAGTTGTATCAAATTTAAGGCCATAAAAATCTTAAATGGTATACGAAAGTCTTAATTGTGACCCTGGACCACAAAACCAGTCATAAGTAGCACGGGTATATTTGTAGCAATAGCCAAAAATACATTGTGTGGGTCAAAGTTATCGATTTTTCTTTTGTGCCAAAAATCATTAGGATATTAGGTAAAGATCATGTTCCATGAAGATATTTTGTCAATTTCCTACCGTAAATATATCAAAAATGTATTATCATTAGTAATATGCATTGCTAAGGACTTCATTTGGAAAACTTTAAAGGCGATTTTCTCAATAATTAAATTTTTTTGCACCCTTAGATTCTAGATTTTCAAATAGTTGTATCTCGGCCAAATATTGTCCCATCCTAACAAACCATGCATCATATTTATTCAGCTTTCAGATGATGTATAAATCTCAATTTAAAAAAATTGACCCTTATGACTGGTTTTGTGGTCCAGGTTCAAGAGGTCTTAAATTGGGGGACGGAAAGACAAGAATTGTGATATGGCTGAATGTGACGATTAAATAAAACAAAAACTATGATTTCAATGAATAAATCTGAATGAAGTCAGGTGCTGCTGCTGCTTTGTGTTCTGCCGTTACCGGGGAAACCGCTATATTTCTGCCGTTCCAAAAGCGCCTCCTGCTGGCAAAGAATGGATGTGCATTTTCAATCAGCCCGTCTGTTTTTTTGGTTCAGTCTAATGC